ATCCCCAAAAGGTCATTATAAAAATATGTATTCATGAAAAGTATGCAGAATTTTTTCTTAAATATGTCCCATATGCCACTTCGACCACCTTTTTCTCCACTTGATTGGCTTTTATAAATCCAAACATAAAGAGTATTTAATAGATTATTACAGCAACACTGATGGGAACAAGCTGTGGGACTAAACCACTCATGACACGGGAGTGAGATCACTGCTGTGTATTTAGATTTGCTATTGAGAAATTTAAACATTCGTTTGCCACCAAAAGTCCATCATTGAGGGACATCCTACATTCTGGAAGGTGTTTGGAAGCACTGTACCTGCAGAATCCTTCTTTATATATATTAGCAGATTATTTCTGACTAAAGTTATTTTTAGCTAAGATTAGCCCTCACCGATTTGAAAGTTGTTCATTTGAGCAGTGATTTTTCTTTAACAACTTAGCTTTTCATTTTTAAGTTTTACTTTTCTATCAGCCCATAACCTCAAGTCCTCTTAAATTAGTACCCTCATAATTGTCTCTGTTGCTATCAATTATAGTACTTGAAAATGAACCACATCTGAAGAGAAGTTTGTGTTTAGTTCAAACAACTTTTTTTCACTGTATTGAAGATAAGTATGTGTGCTAAAGTGCCATGTGAATTCTGAAGCTTTCAAAAATGTTTTCCTCTGACATTTTTAGATATTATTCTTGTTAGTGTTTCCTGCGTATTATTTGAAGAAAAGAAGGAAACTGAGATTAAAAACTTTGCCAAAAAGCTACTCTAGTATATTTTTACTCTCCAATGACAGGTGTCTTTTAAAGCATATATGTAAAAAAATTATAAATGAAGGCTATGCAAAGTACTAAATATGTTTAATTTTTAAAATCATGAATACAGTGAAATAAAACGCCATCATAATCCTTCATGAAAATGATTTAAAATCTCTTCTTTTTCATGCTGTAGCAGGTTTTTTTTTTTTTTTTTTGAGTTTTTAAAAACCCAATTTTGACTCACAACTAAATGGCCTTTTGCATATAGCTGAAAAGTGAATTTGTACTTCTCTGAAGAAGTTTCTTTCCCTTGGGTTCAGTCAGTGATAGTGGTGTGGTGAGTTAGCGTGGCTGCCCCATTTCAGGTGCTGCGCGGGTTTGGGGAGAAACTGGTCTGCTGGTCCTGTCTTCCCTAAGGAACTCAGCCAAAATGCACTGAGTCCTCTCTCCCTTGCAAACGTTCCTGACATTGTCTTCCTGTATTCCCAGGATACAAACAGCAGCATTAACCTTTTCCTTGTCGGCTCAGAGTTCTGCTCATACTGAGCCCATGCATTTGTCCCTGAGTGACTTTGCCACTTTCCCTGTATTTAACTTTATTATTTCATAGACAGAACACATTCACAGGATGGTTCAAGTATAAAGCCCATCTGTGCTGGCAGTGAGCATGTTGCTTACTGTGGTACTCCCTAGCCCCATGGAGCTGTTACTGTTAGCGAATTAACTTGAAATAAAGAAAAATTAAAGAAACCATTTCAGTTGACATGAAGACCATTTTTCACTTGCCCTAGCCTCTGTCAAATGCATGGTAGTCACATGCGGTTCATGACGCTCATACTGGATAGAGAAGACCACAGAGTGTCTTCATTATCTTGGAACATTCTCAGGACAGCACACCTAAAGTTCTAACTTGGTGCTCACTTGGTGGGGTGCTATAAAAGGTCAAAGTGCATGGTGTACAGTCTCACTCATAGCCACACTGAGGAGAGGTGATGGGGGAGATCTTTAAAAATGTGTCCTTTCATAAAATTTGATGTAGACAACTTTTTCTGGGAGCAGACAGTTATAAGTAAAGGTGAATACAAATGAATAATTCTTACACTTTTTCAAACATCATAAAATGTGAGTTTCTTGTAGGCGAAGAAGTGGTCTAGCTTGTTCGCTTTATATCCCTGGTGACCATTACAGAGTCTTAACACAGCAAGATACTCAGTAACTGCTAGGTGCATGAATGAATGCATGTAATTTCTTTTTTGTCCAGGCAGAATTAACAATTTATTATGATGTAAAAACCGTGGATAACTATTCTGGTAATCCTTTTTAATAAACTGTTCGCCCCTGCAGACACTTACTTACGTAACTGCTCTTGCTATGTATTTGTTTTTAACCTAGAAATGAAGAGATTAAAAATATGTATACATTACAAAAACACAATAAATATGGTCAGTAGGCCTGGCTATTGTTTCTTAAAATAGTAAGTTGTGCTGCGGACACAGCTCAGCAGCACAAGCACCTGCCTGGTAAGTGCACAGTCCTGAGTTCGATTCCAGTACAAAAAAATAGTGAGTGGTGCTTTATTTTAGATTATGTACATCCACTGTTTTAAAATCTGATGTACACACATCTGTGACCGTAGAAAATAGCAGCATTATCCCAAGCTTCTCAATCTTTTTGAAAGGGAGAAGGAGTAAAATTTTAAGTAATTTTTCTTTTGGCAGTTATGTGACCCTAATATTGTGTTAACTTTTAAGAAGCTGTATATACTAATGTGGTTAATGTGGCAGGCACGTAACCCAGGTTAGTGAGTTAGTGTCAGGACTGCTATTCTCATTAAATGAGATTGCTGAGTTCTGTTTGCTGTTCGGTGGTACTTGAGAGAGCCATCAATGGGATGCAAGTTTTTGTCAACATAATTCAAGTGTATATCTATTAAAGCAGATCTTTTTGGGGTAAAGAATCACAACTTTTAGACATGCCACTAGTTTAAATTGTCTAACCTAATTTCCATAGCTGTGTTCATCAACATGTCTTGCTGACTTTTTCACAGAAGTGCTTATCTTTTGTCGTCTCTTCCGTTGCTGATCATCTTCTCAGCTTGGATTGTGGACTTTTCAGGTAGTTAAGTCACACCATCCCTGCTGTGATAAGAGTTGTGGTAGTTTAAATTCACTTCAAAATCCTGTGAGAATATGCGTGGTCTCTGTCAAGCTGTTGCAGTGTGGTCATGGCACGTGAGACCTCCAGATTGCAAAATCCAGAAATCATGATGCACGGTAGTTTCTTAGGAATCTCCCTATAGAAGCAGAAGTTCAAAGCGTTTTCTATTAGGAAGGCTCGACATCTCCAAAGCAGTGTAGTTGCTGTCACAAGACATGTCACACGGGTTCTGTTTTCACCTTTGTTAAACAAGGTCGCAGTGTGTCTGAACTGACCCCTTTGGTCCAAGTTTCAGTTTCTGAACAAAGTATCTTAATGATGGCCTTTGAAGTTTTTGTTGTCTGAAAGTAAATTGTTGTGTTTTATTTATTTTTTTTCTCACCTGCCATACATTGGGAAATCCATGCAAAGGTTTTGCAGTGGGAGGCATTACCTTTCAATGCCAGTTGTAGTTGCTTTAGTCACTGAAATGCTAGGTCAGAATGTTTTGAATGGTGTCCCTCAGGGCCTGGCTTCTGACATCACTCACACAAATGCTGCCTGTCAGGTGGCTGGAAAGAGATGAGGGATGAGGGATACCCCAGTCTTAGCTCTCCGGCTTAGTGACATTCTGGTACTGATGGATGAAATCTCTATATTTAACATGGAGGGTATAGGAGTGACACATTACCAGCCATTGTTTAGAGGCTGTGGAAGTCCAGGAAATATTAGAGTAATGCAGAGTGAGTTGTGTGTGTGCGTTAATGTGCAGTTCGTAGAACTGTAACGCTAGACATGAATTTAGAAGGTGTCTCATTGGAGGAAGCTATTGGCCAGCATTTAAGTAACCTGATCAAAGCCCTGCTTCTCTTTATGGAGACTTCAGTCTTTGAGTCCTGCAGAACAGAAGTACTAACATAGCCCTCAGTGCGCTACGGAATACTATTTGCATTTTAAGCAGAGCCTTTGCATGATTTCGAGATGCCTGTGACTTTTCTCAGGTTGAATATGAGCAGCGATCACACATGTCATTTCTGAGCAGCTGTTGAAGAGGCAGAACATGATGATACCACTTGGTTTATATATTACATCTGGCTGCTGGGGAATTTCAGACATTCGCTGATATTTGGAAAGGGAAATCTCCCTCGTTGGGGGGCAGTCAAATTCTATTTAAAACTAATAATTTTGGCCGCTCAGGGGATGACACTTAATTGAGTCACCTGTGGAGGTGCACAGTGAGACAGAAGGGAAGGGGTTCATATAAAGAGCTCCCTGCAGGCCTTGGTAACCCCGGAGCTCTGTAATTCATGCTGGGGAATCACGCAGTGCTGCACGGGCATTTGTGGGGGAACCATCATGTCTTTACATTTGGTCATAACCCACTCCTGGGAGGAACCAGGAGCATTTTGCTGTAAACAGAGCCTAATCCAGGAAGACCCAGGAAGCTTTGCTTCTTTCCATTTGTCTTCAGCCGAATGGCTTCTCATTAGTCCTCCTTCTTCAGGATCCTGCCCACTGCACGGAGAGTACTTTGGTTTCATTGTGCGTGATGAGGTTTCCTTCCTAAGCCATTTCATGCCGTTGCTTTTGCACCTTTATTTTACTGTAAGGTAGATGACGTCTTTGTGCAAAGTCTTACTACTGCAGGAACCCCGCAGACAATGCCTTTGATCTCTGAGCTGTGGCTTCCAGTTTTGATAGCAACTTTTAGCTTTGCAAAAAGAAACCCTCTATGATTTGATGCTTCCATAGGAATGTGTTTGGAAGGAGGCAGCTGTAAAGCATACACTGAGTCAGGAATTGCTTTCTCAGTTTTAAAAGTATATACATTATTAAGCATCCTGAATCAGTTATAGTGCTTTTGCTACTTACCTGCAGCTTTTACTCTGATCTAAAATGTGTAGCATCGTGAACCACTCAGTGTAGCTGTGGAGAGAGGAGGAGTGATTTTATTTGGCCCTGATAAATCAAGTGATTTCCCAAAAAAGCAGGCATCCCGTGTATTCTGTTTTTTCGAGGTGGAGCACTTGGCAGTTCCCTCCTACCCCTGCAGTGAACCCAGTGAGTTAGTGACACATTTAAAGTAACACCCGTTTCTTCTACACTCCAGGTCACTTCAGGTGGGACGTTCATTGGCATTGGACGGAAGACGCCGGATTGCCAAGGAAACACCAAGTATTTCCGCTGTAAATTCTGCAATTTCACTTACATGGGCAACTCATCCACGGAGCTCGAACAGCATTTTCTTCAGACTCACCCGAACAAAATAAAAGCTTCTCTTCCTTCCTCTGAGGGTGCGAAACCTTCAGAGAAGAACTCTAACAAATCCATGCCTGCCCTTCGAGCTGGCGATTCTGGAGACTTGGGAAAGTGGCAGGACAAGATCACGGTCAAGGCCGGAGATGACACTCCGATCGGCTACTCCGTGCCCATCAAGCCCCTGGACTCCTCCAGACAAAATGGTACCGAGGCCACCAGCTACTACTGGTGTAAATTTTGTAGTTTCAGCTGTGAGTCGTCCAGCTCCCTAAAACTGCTGGAGCATCACGGCAAGCAGCACGGAGCCATGCAGTCGGGTGGCCTTAACCCAGAGTTGAACGATAAGCTTCCCAGGGGCTCCGTCATTAATCAGAATGACCTAGCCAAAAACGCAGAGGGCGAGCCAATGACCAAGGCAGACAAGAGCCTGAGTGGGGCGAAGAAGAAGGACTTCTCTGCCAAGGGAGCGGAGGATAACATGGTCACGAGCTACAACTGTCAGTTCTGTGACTTTAGATATTCTAAAAGCCATGGCCCTGATGTCATTGTGGTGGGGCCGCTCCTCCGTCATTATCAGCAGCTCCATAACATCCACAAGTGTACCATTAAGCACTGTCCGTTCTGTCCCAGAGGCCTTTGCAGCCCAGAAAAGCACCTTGGAGAAATTACGTATCCGTTTGCCTGTAGAAAAAGTAATTGTTCCCACTGTGCACTCTTGCTGTTGCACTTGTCTCCCGGGGCGGCCGGAAGCTCGAGAGTCAAACACCAATGCCACCAGTGTCCCTTTTCTACCCCGGATGTCGATGTGCTCCTCTTTCACTATGAGACCGTGCATGAGTCCCAGGCGTCGGAGGTCAAACAGGAGGCCAATCATCTGCAAGGCTCAGATGGGCAGCAAGCAGTCAAGGACAGCAAAGAACACTCATGTACCAAATGTGATTTCATTACCCAGGTGGAAGAAGAGATTTCCAGACACTACAGGTGAGTCTCGGGAGGAGGGTGCTACGCAGGACAGAAGATACAGAGGGCTGGTGCAGACACTGAGGGAGGGAGTCTGATGGTGTGAGAAGTCCAGGCCAAGATCACATAAGAGGGCATAGAATTGCAGGTAGCGGATGGATAGATGTGGCAACCTCAGATTTCAGTTTGGCCGCTTGGGCTGCCATAACGGCTTACAGGTCTGGTGTCTAACATTTGCCAAGTGAGTTTTAAAATTCTCAGTGATGCCGAGAATGCTGGTGTTTGCTAATTTATCATAGCCTGGGTATTTTTCCCTGCTCATTATGACTCCACATCTTGTAATTTTTGATGGAGTAGCTTCCCACACTGGAGGTGCTGGTGTATTTTATTATTGATTCTAACTGAGAAATAATCAGTTGAGAACCTGTTTCTCATTTCTGTTGCAATGAGAATCTTCTTTCTTTGAAACATTATACATTCTTGGTTGATTAGTAGATAGCAATCTGAAGGTCAGCATCGTGTGGCTAGTGTGCTGTGGGGTGTGTACTCACCTCTCGAGGCAAGAAACACTCCTTTCTAGTTGCTAGAGTGGCATGCCTTTGTGTTCCTGGAGTCGGTTTCCTTTGACTCCATTTTCTTTATGAACAGCTCCGTCAATTACTCTTTTATGCTCTCTAGAGATGAGTTTAGGCTACATGTGCTTATTTCATGTATGTGTTTATTCCCTAATTGCGTTAAAAATACCCATTGTGTCAGGCATTGACAATATAGGAATCATCATTTCCTGTTTGGAGCTGGGTGCTTCACAGATCCGTGTAGGAGTTTGTGTTGGATGTAAGGACAGTGTAGTTCAATAGGGTGGGTGGGTTAGGCAGGGCCTCTAGGAGTAAGGAACAGGCAAACTGAGGCTTGGATGTAAGTAGGAATTATTTTAGCAAAGCCTTGGAAATGCAGGGCATTCAATATTAGTGCTTATTGGGTGCTTCCTTGTGATTATGCCTCTATGCACCAAAAGAGAGTGGTTTATTTACTACTTTAAGTGATTTTCCATTTGAAGATTCAGTATTTGAGACTGAAACCTAGTTATTTTCATTGTCACTCCCTAAGATTTTAAGCCATCCCTTCCATTCCCTTGTGTGGAGATCTGTCCTTCCAGCCGCGGTCTGGACGCAGTCTGTGCAAACAGTAGGCTGACAAAATGAGATGATTTTTAAGGACCATCCCAGTGTTCCTGGGGAATCAGAATGTACAGAAAACACTTGTTTGAGATTTACACTGTTTCATTTATAAGGTCAGCCCTAGGAAAGACACAGCCCTGCCATCAAATATGTGTTCGCACTTGCAGAGAGTGTTGCTGGCTTCAGTAATGTCAGATGCATGTTAATTTATTTCTGGGGCTCGCAGAACTGAGCTCTCTGACTTTCTCGGTGAGGATGTGTGAGGGTGGGTGAGTGAGCATATTTTGCTTGTTCATTTCCTCAGTGGTGTCAAAATCAGATAAACCTGTTTTTTTTTTTTTTGAAAGGGGCAGCCTTGTTGAAGAAATCTTCATGATTTTCCGTAACTATGTGAGAAGTGCCCCTTCCCTTTTGGATACAGCTAGTTAAGGGATATGTAGAAGATAGCACGGGTAGAATGTTGCTCTAAATCCCATGTGAGAAAAGAGTTTCCATATTTTTTAGATAAAATAATCTCCCAAGTATGAATAAAAATATTACTTAATAATGTGCGGCTGTAGTTAATGAAGCAAGTTTGTGCTCCTGCTGTATCTGTGTAGTTTCATTCAGTGCCAGGATATCTGATAGCTGCCCGGTGAATGTCTTTATGTAAGTGAAATCCTCATGAGCATTGGACTTCACGTCAGTGATGGGTAAGCTGAGATCTTAAAGGTGAGTCATGGTTAAATCTTTCAATACATTATGGTTCACGGAGCTGGGGTTCTACACCGAAGGACAGTTGACCATTCATTGGGCAGCAGCAGTTAAAGTGTCAGCATTTTATTAACTAAAAGATTCAACAACACCCGTCCTTTGACTGCTGGAATACTACTGTTACACTTACCGTTAAATCCTGATTTGATTTGTTGATCTGAGCACCTTTGTCCCTGATCTGTGAATTCTTGTACAAGAAAAAAAAAATTTGAGATTTGGAGTCTCGCCCTGGAGGAGTAGAAAGTACACAGAAACTTCGCTGAAGGACTGAGCAGCAGATGCTGGGGCTGAGGGAGGAGATTGTCACAGGACATGCAAACGATCTGCTCTCAAAGCCCCGTCCCCGCATGCCACATTATGAAGATAAAGAGGACGCGTTTACCTAAATGCAGTGATAGTGGTCTAGTTCGATTTACGTGTCTTCTTATTCATGTTGCAAATTGTTTTGCCACAATTCTGTACTAATATTTTCTGCTTTTGTGTGCTGTGTGCACAAGATTTACAGTGCACTGAAATTAGCAGGAATCTAGAACTACACGAAATTTGAAATCACTTACCCCAGAAATAACGGCAGCCAAGAAGCAGGACAGTCGGTGTGGACCTCTGTGTCCGCTCCATTGCTTAGGGATTTTCCCTAAAAATTGGGGTTGGCCTGAGTCGAACTGGCAACGTTATCCAGTCAGTCACCAAATTTAGCCAATTCTTTTTTGTTAATGTTTTGTATTGACCTGCAGTGCCCCCTGAATCACCTGGTGACTGACTGAGTTGCTTCATTCCATCCGCGAATCTTTTTCTCTCCCTGCATTTGTGAAAACTTGTTACTTAATTAATGTGGGACTCATTCTCTGTTGACCACCATTCTCATCAAAAGCTGTAGTCTTAGAACGTCCATTTCTGGTACAAGTCAGAGGACTATTTCTGTAAAACAGTTGTACCAGACAAAGTGTGCTTAGTAACAATTTGCCAGATTTCCACAAACCAGGGGGAATTTCTGAAGCTTTCGTGGTCCCTTCACAAGGACTGAGGTGAATCAGAGTCCCAGGAGGTGAGCAGTAAGCCGGGGTGTAGGCTGGGGGAGATGGGTTCCGATGTTGGTGGTTCGCTTGGCCAGGAGAGCAAGCCTGGAGTCACCTGTGGGGACCCGGAGCGGTCCATGAGCTTCCCTGCACGTTGGGATCTTGGAAATGGTCGTTCCATAGTGGGTGACTCCCTCTCTCTTCTGGGAGATATAAACATGAATTTGTCTATGGAATAGTAACCACAGTTTCACCTACAAGTTATCATCTTATATGAAATTAGAAAAAAGGTGCCATATGACAGAGTTGTGTGTGAAATTAGCGCAAAGAAAAGGTGATGTATTTAGGCACCAGGAGGTGTAGACGCAGGAGTTTTCATTGATGAGGTACTAAGTACTGAACATTTATAAAGAAGTGAACTTTACTATTACAAAGCTGACCTAGAAAAATGAACCTGCAAATAACGAGAGAGAACCAAAAATGAAATGAATAGTACTTTTAATTGAAAAATACACCTGTTGAAACTTAAAATATAGAATAAGTGGATGGGATATTTAAGAGACAGTAAGATATAAAAATGTCAAATGCAGAAAATAAGATACAGAAATATAATGAACTCGTGTGTGTGTGTGTGTAAATTCATTCAGAGTTCCAGAAGAAAATTATCAAATTGAGTCTAGCCAATCAGTATTTGAGGGAAAATTGGCAGAAGGTTGTTTTTAAGACCTGATGAAAGATATAAATATACAGATAAAAAGCATAGCATACATGAGTGAAGGAATGTATAAATAAATTCAACCATAAATGCATTATAAAGCCAAGACAGAAAGGCCCTTAAGAACAACTAGAGAAAAATAATAAATCAACTTCTCAGAAAAGATGAGTTGACAGACTGTTTGTGAGTAACATTGGAAGGAAGAATACTGAATGCTTTTGAGGAAAGTGCACACACGCACACACACTTCACTGGTACGGTTTAATAAGAGAAAGGCTGAAGCAGGGCTGCGGTGGAACTTTGAAGGAAAGTGACCGTATCTGAGGTGTTCCCAGATGCTTCAGTCATCTGCAGGTAGTGAGTTAGCATTTTCTCATGCCTATTTGGAAAAAATTTAAAACTAACCAATGAAAAGTCGGGAAGAGCTACGTAACTTTAACTGCTACAGAGTAGAGAAATGAAGTGACAAAGAAAAGCCATTCATAAAATGCAAAGACATGAACATCAATTCAAAAGTTAAATTATAGAAAAGTCCAAATATACAAAACGTTAAACATTGTAGCTGTATGTGGTGGTGCACACCTACAATCCAAGCACTTGGGAGGCTGAGGCAGGAGGATTGCTGGGTTGTTTGAGGCCAGCCTGGGCTACAAAGTGAGCTCAGGTCCAGCTGGAACTGTACCCTGTCTTAAAAAACAACAACAACAAAAAGAATTACAAATTCAATTTTTTTTTAAAGATAGTTTTAAAACTAATTAGAAAAGAAAATTCCATACATGCTGTTTACAAGATACCCACTTAAAACACGGGTCTCTAGAGAGTTGGGAAGAATAGATCTGGTTGTACCAAAAAATATGAACCAAAGAAACACTGAATTACCTGTATCAATCTCATATAACTTAGTGCAATAATGGTAAGAGATATAATTCAGGAGCTACAATAGTTCTAAAAGGATAAAGAATAAATATAAAAGGTAAATCAAAAATTGGCAGAGAATTACAGAGAAAATAGAACAAACCACAATTCCAGTTGTAAGTTTTAAGAAACTTTTGAATATTTGGCAGAAAAACTTTTTTGTTTTTGGTACCGGGGATTGAACTCATCACCTCACGCCTGCCAGGCAGACACTTACAAATCTCTGACCCGTAGAAAAACATTCAAAATGTAACAGATTGACCAACAAATTACTAAGAGTAACAATAAAAATATATAAGTTCTCTAAGCAGGAGTTAGAGAATGTATATTTTCTTCAAGCACACATCGAATAGCTTTAAAATGCTACAAATTAAGTAGAGAAATGAAAAGAAATTCAGAAAAACAGTATCATAAAAAGCATTTCCTGTGACTCAGTAACCAAAA